CTATTCAACACCACTCCTTTTAGATTTCTGTCTTAAATTTTCAGATGACAACTTCGTATTCAGTTTTCCTTTTCTTTTTTAGTATCCTTATTTTTTTTGCTTTTCCTTTTCACAACAAAAGATTACAGAATCAAAGATGGATGCACACTCAAGAAAGGAAGAAATTTGAATCAGTAATGCAAGAAGGCATTAGGACAATCAGTGAACACATGGGATTCTATAATCAGAACTAATATAATTTTACCTGAAGGATGCTGAAGAATGGACCAGACAAATATACAACAATATATAAAAAAACAACAACTAATCAAAGGTTAAGTCAAATAAATCAGTATACTTCTTCATGTAAGGTGGTGTAATTGATAGCTGCTCAGAATAAGAAATTTGAGAGCAGGGTTCAAATTTCATTCTAGTTCATTACATTCACTTGCATGAAAATACTCTTCTCCCCACCATCTATGAGTTAAATAGTAAGACTTATATCTGAAAAAAATCATTGCTATCTTCAAAAAATGGTTAATGTAATATTCACTCACAAAAAAGAATTATTCATACAATCCAAAATATGTTTCAGCTTTATATAATACACAAAAGGTTGATAAATCATAAAAAGCAAATCAATCAGTCATATGACTAAGAGAATCAATAATTATTATTTAGATAACATGTATATAACATATTAAAATAGCAAAAATGCACCTCTATTTTCAGTTAATAGAAAACCTATTCCCAACAAGAATATTACTCTAAATCTTATTCATATGTTCAATATTTAGGAACATTTTAATCACTTTTTATGAAAAATGTTTACAAAATTTAATGAAATGTAATGCTTTTTATTATTTTATATGGTTGTTGAGGAAACACATTAAGACTTGATTTCAAACCAAACTTTTTCTTATCTTCAAGAATTGTTATTTTGATTATCACTGATCTGGTACTAAAATTATTTTTAAATGATATGCATGACAAATAATTCTGGAATGAGTAAAATTTTAAATCCTAAACTTCAGGAAATACACTTAAATTATAACTGTCATGTTTTCAAACACTAGTCCAATTTTTTTAAGAAGGTATTACTCAGAATGAAATCCTCTGTTGTACTTATTAGAAAATTTATTTAAAAAAACATAGGGAGATACATTTATTCTGGAAAAGAATGGCTTTGAATTGTGTGTGTGTGTGTGTGTGTGTGTCTCTCTCTCTCTATATATATATATATATATATATATATATATAGAGAGAGAGAGAGAGAGCGCAAAAAAAGAAATCAAAATTGCATAGTGACTAGTAGTTTCATGTTTTAAGTGATCATAAGAACACTTAATTATCTTGTAACATAGATAGTAACACTCATCCCAGGCACTATGTCAAATGGGGACACATGCTGTAAAGATGTTCAGTGTAGTGAAAGTATAGAAGTCAAGTGCAAGCAGATATCATAGCATAGAGGTGTGTATGGAATCTGTTAGTTCAGTTAGGCTCATTTGAGATAGATCAAATGTGGGGCGGCTGTCAAGAGACTGAGTGGTCATTTCAAGAATTGCTGTACATGATGATGCATCATTGGTGCTTTGATGCTGGTAGAAATGGTCAAATGAACATTCCTATATCTGTAGACCAGGTTCTGGGCAACCTCATAGTACAGATAATTGCAAAGATCAATACATTGTAAGGAAAGAAGCAGGCCACATGTCATCCACAGCACAGATCACAGAAAATGTGGCCAAACTCAAAGTACAAGACTTCTGTCATGTGTATCTAAAACCAGACTACCACACCAATGTTGTACATGTTTCCAGTGATATTAGAAGAGAGTCACTTGGAGATTTCAAGTGACACTCTGTTGTGTTCAGTAATGCAAAAAAAAGGTTCTGCCTTCATGAATGTGATGGTCACTTGTTTATGCAAAATAGATCTAAGGAGCAACAACTTCCACAGCATACAAGTCCAATCTCGATCATCATGGCGTGTGAAGTATCATGTTATAACTTTCAATCCCCATTGGTATTTGTGAAGAGAAAGGCAAGAATCTATTTCTTCATGCACTTTGGTCTCTCACCACATATTTCAAAAGAATGTCTTCTCACTGGCATGCCACAATTCCTGATGAATTAAAGAGTGAGTGTGCAAGTAAAACCACTCTCTCATAATTACCTTACTGCCCAAATGGTAGTAATAATAAGAAACTGTTATATCCATTTCAAACTGATGTGTGATATGCTTTAAATCTCCCTTGTTTTTAGTTTAAGTTACTTACCAAAAATATAAAATTGTTTATAAAATGTTAATGTCAATTAGTAAATTTTAAATTCATGAGGCAATTATTAGAATTGAAGAGCTGCATTTGAAATCTATTTCTACATTGTATCGCGCTTGAAGAAGCTTCTTGGTCTGGTTAAACTGTTATTTGTGACATGGAAATATGCACTTGCTCTGATATTTTCTTTTATTGCTCCCTTTATTTGTATTCTTTGTTGATTTAAAGGTTTCTTTTCTCTTTATGCCAACAATTTACAGTTTGGGTAACTACCATGAAGTTAATAACTTCTAGAAAGAAAGAAAATTGTCATATATATCAACTCAGACAGACACACACATAATTCTAAGATTGACCAAGAAGGGATTAAAAAAAAGTGATGTTTGATTAGATTTTGGGAAGGGAGCAGAGTTAGAGCAAGAACTTTTTATCATCATTTTATATATATATATATATATATATATATATATGATTGAAAAGTAACTCCCTATTTTATGTATGAATGGCCAGCCAGGAGTCCTGATTTAACACCCTGTGACTTTTTTCTGTGGGATTTGGTAAAGAAGTAAGTCTACTATACCTAACCAAGACTTTGGAAGAACTTGAAGAGCAAATACAAGAAATTATGTCTTCTATACCATAAGAGTTCCTGGTGAAATCAGTTGATGCAATCCTTTGGAAATTCAACAAGCTGGTAGTGAAATATGGTGCCCATATCAAATTTTAAATAAAACCTTATACTAAAAACTTTCCTCTCATATCCATTTCTTGTAAAAATTATAGTTAATAAATAAGTTATAAGTATTTTAAAATGGGTAGTTACTTTTCAGTCAACCTGTGTGTGTGTGTGTGTGTGTGTGTATATATATATATATATATATATATATATATATAAATGAGAGAAGTATGCTAACAGTAGCTTAGATAAGTAGATAATAAGCTTCTTCTATGTGCCATATCCTTTCAGGACTTTGCCAATCATGTCTCTCCACAGTTTGTAACTCTTAATAAATTTTGTTTTTTGTTATCTCTCCTAAACCTTGTGTTATACTAGAACATACCTATTCTATTGTAAATAGACTCTCCCAGATATAATAAGTAGTAGTAGTAGTAGTAGCAGTCGCCAGGGAGCTCAGAGTGAGTTGGTGAGTCAGTCGATGTTGGACCTTAATGTATCAACCACCACAACTAGATTGCTGTCTCATTAACTATTATTTCAAGTTCTTAACGTTTTGTACGTCGAACCCTTTTAGAACCAACTTAGTGAAATACAAGCCTCCACTGTGAAAACTACTCTACAACACCTTGTTCTGCCATCCTCAAGTATGTAGGTTATGCGTTATTTTCCTCTGTCCTTCTTCTCAATCTGCCTTGTGAATATCAAATTTTCTAAGTCCTTTTTCCTTATTATATGCCCTAGAAATTTCAACTATCTCTTTTTGATGTTAAATATAAGAGTACTTTTTGTTTCCATTTTCTCTAAAACTTCAAGTTGTTCACATGTTCAGTCCATGGTATTCTCAGCATCCTTCTGTAGAATCACATTTCTATTACTTGAAGACTCTTCTTCATCTGTGAGGAGATTGTCTAGCATTCACTGCCATATAGGAGGACTGATATTATATTACAGATCAATACTCTTTTCTTTTTTTCTAACACATTTTTTTCTTGTTTCTTAATACTTTGCTTAGCTTTTGGAATGCTTCTTTTTGATCCTAATGCACCCTCACATTTCAGTATCACACTTTCCATTCTCTGTTTAATCACTTCCTAGATATTTAAATTGTTGTACTTATTTGATCTTGGTGTGTCCAATTTGTAATTTGCATGTTGAGATATTACTTTTTCTATCAACCACGCATTCTATCTTCTTGCAATTGATGTTTAGTAATTTCCTCACTTTCTTTTACTACTCTCTGTAGGAATTCTTGTTGTCTCCTTTCTATGTTTTCTATCAACACTGTGTCATCTACATAAGATTGTGGCTGCCAGTAATGAATACTGATAAGATTTCTAATTCTTAAATAGATTATATATTCATTAAATATAACTGACTACTCACCTTCTGTTTTCATACATTCACAAAAATGCTCATTACAATACACTTTTTACTACAATCAAATCAGTTCTTTTGTTTGCTGTGGTTATCTCCAATCTTGATAACAAATAAATAAAAATGTATTAATTGTACTGAATAGTAAAGTTTTCTTGCTCTGTTGTAATTTAGAATTTCTCATTCTTTTGGTATCCCTATAGTGTTTTTTGTTGAATGTAGATACATCTGTCAGCAATATATTATGTCTGTCAGAGATTTTAGTCTATTACTTATTAGATATAATCCTGCATTTTATTTAGTACAGATTAAGTCTAGGTGCAAAGCTATAAGCATTACTTCAAACTTTTTCTTTCACAGTTTTGTTTTTTTTCTTCTGCAAATATTTCCACTTAAGATCAGTCTCCCATTTGCGTTACCCTTTGATACACGTAAGGAGATGAGTATTTCTAAGATCTCATTATTAGAACAAAATAAGTTTTGCCAGTTCCTAAATGCCAATTTTTTAAGCAATAAGAAATCTTTGCAATTTTTACACTGTAAACAAATTTTGGTTAAGAATTATGATGTTAACTGTTTTGTACACAACTATGTATTTTTGCAGCATTTACCTGTAGAATATAAAAATACTTTGAGAGATGGTATTCCTTTAGAGGAATTAGCTTAGTTGCTTATAAAATTGTTGACATGTCCACAGCTGTGATATTGCCTGGAGCAAATTTTCAGGTATAGACAACAATGTTTTGGCTGCATTGGTGGAAGTCAAGATTTAATTAAACAAAATAGGACAGTAGGTATTAATGAAATATAAGTAGAAAATTATAATTAATACAAGATTTTTATAAAGCTATAATTAATAATGAATTTTTATCTTTATAATACAAGTGGGCATTAATGGGTTATTGGTGAAGAAACAGTGGTTCACTGCTATCAAAAATGACTTTATACAGCTTGTAAATGTTGCTATAAAGCAACAAATTTGAACAAATACAAACTCAACCTAATACTATTCAATTATTCTGAGCTTGCACACCTGATGTCAGTCTGATTGAACATCTGAAGATGATTTTGTTTAGTTTATGCTATCAAACTATCAAATAATAAGATGTTAGAGCCTGAAGTTATAAGAAGAGAACATTTCTTGAGATTTGTTTCACTAAATCAGATAATGGGCTCCCTTATAACATAAAATCTTTTTAAACAACTTCAGTAAATAGGATTAACAATTGTAAATCAGTATGACCAAGGTTATGATAATAGGGGTAATATGAAAGGTAAATAAAATGGTATAAAAAAGAAGGCACTGGAAATAAACTCATGTCTTTTTTGTGCCCTGAAATGCACAATGTTTAAATTTGGTAGTTAATGCTATTGCTCGTTATTTACTAGAAGCAACTATTTTCTTCAGTTTTTTCTTGGTATTCAATCTACTGTGGATCATCTAGGGTAAAATCATTTAGGGATTGCATATAGATCACTATTCCTCTCTGTTATTTTGATATTCATCTAACACTAGCTGGCTTAACTTACACTTCCTCACCATCAGAAGTTACCAGTACCACTGTGAGTGTCTCTACTCAGATGTGAAAACCACTCTTTGCAGCACTATGTCATTGTGCTGTCCTGAGTAATATGTTGTACTAAAATGTGGTCAATATCATCTATGACTTTAATCATTTTATAGTATCATTCCAAAATACCATTTCCATTCTGCTTATTTGCAGCTCAAAAGTAACTTTTAACATTTCACCTGTCCAGTATTTCTTTCATTGCAGCTGATTTAAATGCAGTGTGATTGTCCATTAGTATTTCATCTATAGGACCTCTCTCCAAAATCACTTCATTTACCATTGCTGTGGCCAAGGGTCCCTGTTTGTGTTCAATTCTTCTACCATATGGCTGTTATAACAAGCATTTTGTTGCAAAAGAAAGGAAACAAACAAGGAACAAATTTTCAAAAGCGTGTATTCATCAAATATACATAATATATACATAGTTGTTAAAAATTTGGCAAAAATTGTTCATATGTGGGTCCTTCAGTTGCTGTTGGTCAGGAAATTGATTAGGTGTAAGGATGTTGTTAGTTGGTCGAGGTCACAGTTGGGGGTCAGATGATAAGTCCAGAGTGGATTTAGCCATTGATAGGGTTTGATATGCATTCTTCTTCATAGTTGAAATTGACACCTGTACCTTGTAATGTGGGTTGATGGGTTGGGCAATCTGGTCCTGGTGAAGCATGTTGGTTGCCAGGTGGGGGGGGGTATACTGGTGATGATGAAGGGGGCTGGAGTAGACAATTAAGGTTAATATTTGAACACAAATGACTATTTACTAGTTAAAGCTTTATTTAAATATTGTCTTAAATTTTTGACCATCTAGTATTTAGTATAATTTCCCAGTATTCAAATTTCCCTATTAAATGTTAAAGTTTTTAATTTTTATTTTTTCTTATTTTCATTTTTTGAGGCTCTACACAAAAAGATGTTGAATCTAACAATGCAAAATGTATATTTTTTCTTTATTTTTCATTGACTTTAAGATTTTGGCCAGCATTGTAAATGTCTGTGTTGTTTCTTCAAAGTTTTTCCCAGTGTTGTAGGCATTGAAAAATCTCTTCCTTTATTGCAGGTGAATCAAAATGTTCTACAGGGGTTGGACAAAATAATTGAAGCACTTGTTAAATTCAAAGAAAATTTATTTAATATGGAATGGGTCCTCCTTTAGCCTCACATACTGCTTTAATACATCTAGGAATGGAATCATACAGCTTCCTGACTTTATCCAGAGGTATTTTCAGCCATTCTTCCATTAACACCTGCTCCAGCTCTTTAAGAAATGATGGTGGAGGCCACTCCATGTGTTCTGGCTCACTTTCATGCTCTTCATACAATTCTTAACCACTTGAGTGGTATGTATTGGAGCATTATTGTCTTCAAAGATGCAGTCACAATTAGGGAATAAAGTCTGGGCCATTGGATGAACATGATCTCCCAAAATGTTCAAGTAATCTTTGCTGTTGATTCTACCATGCAGGGCAACTATTGGACTGAGACATTTCCATGATTTGGTGGCCCAAACTATCACTGATTCACCTCCATGCTTCAGTGTTGGAAAAAGGCAGTCAGGGTTGTAAGCTTCTTTGGGCTGCTTCCACACATAAACTCACCCTGAAGTTGGGAAAAGAGAAAAACTGAACTCGTCTGAGAATATGACTTGCTTCTATTGGTCTGCAGACCAGGCATTGTGATCTCTGCACCACTTCAACCTCTTTTGAATGTTGTAAGTGGAGAGAAGAGGTTTCCTTACAGCAGCTCTTCCATGATATCCAGCCTTATGGAGCTCATGGTGAACAGTTTTAGTAGAAACTGGACTATTTATATGATTATTCAACTCAGCAGTCACTTTTGGCTGCAGTAGTCCAATGATTTTTTGCCACATTGTGTTTCAATGCACGTCAGTCCCTGTCAGTAAGTTTGCAAGTCCGGCACGAATTGTTACAGTTGCTAGAGGTTTTGGCATTTCTCAAATTGCATCATAGTTCTTGATATGGTAGCTCTTGAAAAACCAAACAGTTCAGCAACCTTAGTGTTTGAGGCTCCTGTCATGCAAGCTCCAACAATTTGCCCTTTTTTGAACTCGGAGAGGTCATGCATTTAGCTTAAATTTTACTAAATTCTAAAAATAAGTAAGACAAAGACAGTAAATTAGATAAATAAACATATTTACAATAGTTATAACCTGCAATTACAAAGTTTTAGTTAAAGTTCTTAATTTGAAATATAAGAGTGGAATTTGAAACTGTACCAATTATTTTGTCCAACCCCTGTATTTTGATTATTAGCAACAGTAGAAGCACTTACTTTTAACTTTACTCAAGAAGACCACTTTTGGTTGCATTGTAACAGCTGTTATATCTATGCATTTTGAAAGAAAATAAGCAACATTTTTGGCATATTATGCTATTTTCAGAAAGGCAAAAATGCAACAGAAATTCAAAAATAGATTTGTGCAATTTATAGGATAGGTGTTCTGAATAATCAAACATCAGAAGTTATTTTTGAACTTTCATGCTGGAAATTTCTTGCTGAACAATGTTACTCAGTTGAATATGAAAATCGAGGTTGACTGAGTTTTGATTTAGATATTTTAACTATGTCAAAATGTTTAAATCAATTTAAGATGAAAATCATTTGTACTTAGTTGCTATGATGTATGGCTTCCACATAAAGGAAAGAAAAACTACTGGACAATGTGTTATTTGCAACTTAAACATAACAAAAATATCTTGCTTTGAAACAAGTGATTAAAATGAACATTTAACAACCATATAGAACACAAGAGATTATAGACAATGAAAATTAAGCATCACTAGCTATATTAAAAAATAATCTCCATCCAAAAAAGGAGGTGATTTTGGATTTATAGTGGGATTGTAGCAGTGTTCTTTATTATGAGCTCCTTTAAGAAAACTAAATAATTTGAACAAGTATTTTTCTCATTTAGACCAACTGAAGGCAGCAATCAATGAAAAACATCCAGAATTAGTCAAGAGGAAGAGTGTGATATTTCCTTACAATAATGTTAGGCTATGTTGTTTGGTGACTTGATAAAATTTGTTCCAGTTTAGCTTGGAAGTTTTCACTCATCCACTGTATTCATTGGGTATTGCATCTTCAGATTACCATTTATTCTGGTCTTTACAGAATTCTCTTAAAATATTTCAATTCCCTGGAAGACTACAAAAAGGCAGTGAGAGCTGTTCTGAGAGGATGGAATAATGAAGTTGGCTGAAAGATAGCAGACAAATGGAACAAAATGGTAAATATGTTGTTCAGTAAAGTTAATGTTGAAAAAAATGTCTTTTATTTTTAATTTATAAACTGAATTAACTTTTTGGACAACACAAGACTACTATTAATCTAATGTTTATTGGCTGTATTTCAGTTAATACTCATCTATTTAGTATCCTGTAATGCAAAAAATGTTTAACTTATTCCTATACATTTTAAAGGGAGAAATAAAGTGCCAAAAAATCAATGAGAATGAGCATGTTAGTCCAAAGAGCCATTAAATGATAACAATAGCCTGTTTCAATAATTAAGATGAAAATGCTTTAAATGCTTTATGGCCAATCAAATTTCTTTGTTGCTAAAGTAAAAATGAAATGATCTAAGCTGGATGTCATTAATCAAGACTCAACTCTACTTACACATGTCTACATATACTGACCTACAAAAGTTGTTTGAATTTTAAGTTCACACTTTACCCATAAGGAAAATTGTAGATGTTAGATAGACATTCATCTCAAGTTTTTTTAGGAGGAACAAAAAACAGTAGCTGATAAATGCAAATAACATTTAACCTTTAACCTTGATTTTTGTCTTCATTATGGTATGTAATAAATAGCATTTGGTTAGGTACATATGGTTTGTTCATGAATATGTTTTAGCAGATTCAACCCTGAGTTCAGAAGGTGATAAGAACTGCTCCAACAATAATGCGGACATCCATTTGTTATTTCATTTTTCTTTCTTGATTGCAAAAACAAATACAAAAAAAATATTTCTGTTGCTCTACAATTTCTCATTTATACTTTGTTTATAGGGTTTGAAGATGTTTGTCTCAATTTACTACCTTAGAAGACTAATGTTTTTTTTTTTGCTTTCTCATACCTTCAGTTCCTGCCTTTCTAATTATTTTAGCTTTTCTCTCTTTTTCTCATATGTAACCTTTCTCTCTCTCTTACATTTTCTCACTCTTTGTATCAAATTCTTTTATTTGCAAACAATTCTCTTTCTTTTGTTTTCCCATATCTTCTTAAATGTTATCACATACTGATTTTTCCTTTTCCCTCTTTTTCATATTTTTTCATTCTTTCTCTATCTCACAGTTTTCCTTTCTCTCCCCCGCTTTATCTGGTTTTTTTTTGTTGTTGTTTCTTTTTTCTTTTTCTCCATTTCATGCTTTCTTCTGTCCTTCTTGAAATCCTTATGCTATCACTTCTATCTCACTCTCATTTTTTTTTATATTATCCACTCTCTCTCTCTCTCCTACTTTCTTTTTTTATTTTACCTTTTCCTTCTTTATTGGTTATACTTTCCCTTCATTTTTTCTCTTCCTCTATATTTCAGGTGTTCTTTTTCCCTTTCTTGATTACATATTTTCTTAAATTCCTTCCTCCTATTCCTTCTCTTTCATACTTTCAATGTTTCATTTTCCTCTTTCTCTCTTTCTTCACTCCTTTAATCTATTCATTTCTCTCTGTCTCATATCTCTTCTTTCCCTACTTCACTTTGATAATTTTTTTCTTCTCTTTCAAGATTTTTTGTTTTCTTTGATCTTCTCTTTAATTTCTCAACTTTTTACTCAATTTCATTTTCATATGCCCTCTCTCTTCTGTTCTTCTGCCAGTCAAGGAATCAGGCTGCTATAATCATACTAAGGGATGTGAAAGACCAAGTCAAGTGGCCATCCAATCAAATGCTTGCAAAAGATCAGATGAAAGCATTTTTGCATGTTAATCAATACACACATTTCAGGAAGAATAAGGACCAAAAGGTCAGAATGCAAAATCCTTCTGTGTTTCCATGTGAACAAAGAGTTTCCAAAATACATGATGCATTCTTCTGCATGTGCAACATTGTTACTCAATATTGCTGAATTTCTTTCTGCAATTGTCCAAATGTCTGCAGATGAGGAATCAATATTAATCTATGTATATAAAAGAGCCAATATTGTGTGTGCATCTATACTTTCTTCTAAGCAATAATATACATGTACATATGCACAAGTGTCAGTGAATACATGTATTTGAACATATATCCACATGCTTATGTATGAATGTGCCGTTTTGTCTAGCTTGTGTGCATACATAATCAATACAGATGTTTATAACTTTTCTGTTTTTAGTTAGAGAACTCTAGAAATTTTCCAAGCTAAAAATTCCCTCTCAAGAGAAATGATTTCAAATTGGCTAAATATTTTAAGCAGCAATATTTCCTCTTATAAAAATCTGATTGAAAGTAAAAGACAATATGAGTTTTTTAAATATATTGCAGTGCCATAAAATTGTTAATAGTATGCTTAGTAAGCTAAACAGAAATTATTTGTACTGACTGTAGGATGTAGAATATGAGATTGAAGAGGACTGGACAAGCAACAGAAAGTATTAGATTCCATATTAATTACTTTAAACACAAATTTTATAATGTATATAAGAAAGAGAAAAAAAAACTGTAAAATATTTCAGTTATTATAATGATGAGGTGTTAGGTCACATCATCTGACTTCTTAAATTCTATCAAATTATCAGTGTAATGGTAATATTATCTATTTCCCTCCAAGGAAACATTTGACATTCATTAATCAAGCAGCCAGTACTGCTTTCAGTTGAAATTTATAAATTTTTTCTCTTAAAACAGTTTTTAGGAAAATAGGTTTATCAGGTCCAGTAGCTATTATTGTACTTTTCACTACTGATGGAAATTTCCTTCCTAATCTTTGAAGTAGTGTGGAATGTTGACATCTTAATGATATCACTATTTTATCTTAAAGTTAAATTTGATATTCATTTTAGTTGTTACTGCTGTTTATAGTCCTAAAGTGATGTTGTTTTCATCATTTGGTACAGTTCTTTGTGATTCTGTAGTGCCAGTCCACAATGTTCAAAGAAGACCCTCAGGCTTCACTTGGTCAAAGCCATTTTTAACCATTGATCTTAGCAAGTGGTTAACAGTTTACAGCTGGCAGTTTAGATATTTCTGAACAGGTTTGGTACCATGCATGATCTGACAATGCTATTTAAGAATATGACTCATTTTCAGGTTAATGTTTTGGTTTTGTGCTATACATATTAGAATAATTATATAGAGAGAGACAGAGAAAGATTAATTAATAATATTGTCTCTTTTTCTTTCCTACTTAATATAAAAACAGTTATGACAGTTTTGTTACCTTTAATATTTTCAGTTTTGGATATTTCAAAATGAAATGACATGATAGTAATTTCTGTAATATATCAGTGTTTGTGACTTCACTATCAATTTAAGTGTAGGTTTGCATTTGATAATTGTCTGTTTTTCGAGAGAAGCCTTTTCATAGTTTATAAGCTCTCAAATGCTTTTCTATTAAAAGTATTGAAAGAAAGCAGTTATTTCGATACTTCTCACAGGTAGTCTCGAGAGAAATATAATACAATCTTTGATCAGGTAAGACAACAACTTCATATAAAAAGGTAATAAGATCAAGTCTCAAAATGAATGATAATTTCATGTTTAAATAAACTCATATAAGGGACTCTCAAAAAAATATATAAACACAATTTGTTCATTAATATCTTCAGTGGCAACAATTTTTTTCCTGAATATAGATAGTGTAAGAATTGTCAGGTTAGAAAATAGTATTTGCACTGAGTTTAAATCTTGACTGAATCTATTTCATTCATTTTCCTCTAATTCCACTGGAATAGTCATGAATTCATCTTCCCCTAGCTCAGAATTTCCCAACCAGTGTGCCTGTGCGCACTAATGTGTCCTAACAGAAGAGCAATTTATGAATTATTTTTATTTTTAAAAACTACAGACATCAAGCACATGGCTTCCAAGTCTATGCCGATTCCTTGTCATTTGATATTTTAAACTGGATGCCAAATTCCTTAATCTTGAAGAAAGAGTGGATAAACCTTTCCTTTTTACCTTCCTCAAGGTATTTAAATCAGTCATTATCAACCTCTCTAAAAAAAAATAAAAGATTCTTCATAAATTTCATTGATGAGCAAATGAGGGTATGTTTATCACATATGAAGCCTAACATTCAGAACACTGTCAAAGTACATCAAACACAGGTTTCACACAAACATACTTAAATATACAATGTAATGTTTTAAAAATAAATACTTATTTCAAACTTCTTTGTTATTTTCCTATTTTCAAATTTAATAACTAAGTTTCCTTATTAAAACTTATAGTGTGCCCTAGAGTTTTAGTTATTTTACAAGTGCACCCTGAAGTAAAAAAGGTTGAGAAACATAACTCTAGTTATATGATAAATAACAGGCCTTGAGTTTCAGCTAGTCTAGAAGGACAACTCTAAATTCTAAATGAGCCTGAAGAGAAATGAGTACCATCAGGTTACATTGCCCTAAGCACACTCATAGCTGTAGTACTTTTGGTGCCTGCCTATGCAACAAGGTTATGGGATTCATGATTATGATGTAAGTCAAATATAGAACAATAGAGATTCCACAGGAACTAAATAGCATTACTAGAAAGGGAGCATTACTAGAAAGGGAGTATTAGTCATGACATTATACAGAGGACATAAGGAAGACCAAATACAAACTTAAAAAAATGAGAGATGTTATGTAATTAATGTTGTTAAGTAATTAACAGATAAAGTCGTGAAAACATTGTTTAGTGTGGGACGTGTTACTAATTGCTGATGTTATTACCTGAAAATTAAGCATAAGATATTTGTTTAAATGACACTTTCTCTGAAGTGGTCAAATTATCCTCCTTCTGAAGCTAAACATTTGTCAAATCACCGAGCGACTGCAAACATCAACTGACACTTCTGTTATAATTATGTGACAACTCTCTTCCGTGTATTGGACATTCTAAGATAAAATTTTTCTCTAAGGTCTTCCCATGAAAAGACCTCAAGTGGCGTTAAATCTGGTGAATACATTATGGATTAAACAATATTTTGTCATGTTTTTGTTCCAGCAAAGATATTTATTGAAATCACAATGAAAATGAAGAAGAGTTTTATCTTGTGGAAAATAAAACTCCGCCTCTTCATCAGATAGATGAAGAATCCTTGGCACAGTTTATCGTTGAAACATAATACAAGTATGCATTGTTAGATACCCTGTATATTGTGAATAAATTTGATATTCTATACAATATTTATTTGTTTCTCTGCTTCTACTTGTCACCTGTCCTGTAAGGTTTTCATAAAGCTAAATTATTCAAGTGACTTCTGTATCTTTTCTAGAAAACGGAAACCTCTATAATTGAGCCAATTTCTGTTGAGTCATGTATATAAAAAAAACTAAAAACTAAACAGTCCCTTCTTCTCCTATGTGTTGTGCACCTTGAAAACATTGACGATCATGGCTCTCCACAATATGCCGTTCTTTGTAACTCTTTATAAACCGTTTTTGTTATATCTTTTAAAATTTGTTTTGCCATCCATTAACTCAAGCTCATCTAGGTAGGTTATGTGTTATTTTCCTCTGTCCTTCCTGTCTTCAATCTTTCCTCTGAATATCAAATTTTCAAAGTCATCTTTCTTCATTATGCATCCTAGAAATTCCATCTCTCTCTTCTTGAAGTATAAATGTCCTTTTTGTTTCCATTTTCTGTAAAACTTTGTTGTTGCTCACATGTTTGGTCCATGGCATTCTTGACATCCTTCTGTAGAAACACATTTCTGTTGCTTCAAGTCTCTTCTTTATCTTTGAGAAGATTGTCCAGTGCAAGTCATTAATCATGACTTTTTAAAGTATTTATTGTTGCATTTTCATGAGATGACGATTTCCTAATTTTTAAAATTAGGCATTAGGCATTTTACAAAAAAAATAACAAAGAAAATGGAATATTTTTTCTACCTTCCTGAAAGAAAAAAAGCTTTAACAACTGCTGAACAAAAAGAGTGAGAAGATAGTGCTTAGTGCTTTACACAGATTGACTAATAAGCAGATGACTGTAACTACTTAGGTTCAACTAACATTAATGCCCTTGTAAAAGGTATGAATTCATTTCTGTCTTTCTTGTTACCAGATATCTTGTCAAAATCTCATTTTCCACATTTCACAGATAGAGAAGAAAATACATGAGTGAGTGAACACTTGAGAAACCATTCTTCCATAACCATTTTACATCCTAGCCAGTAGTACCATCAACTGCTTCCCCCACAGTCAACCATGACAGAAAGAGTAGTGACTACTAATAATGAGTATTAACTGTTTTACATACATGTTTTACTCTGTCCAGAAAACATCTGTTTAATCGACTATCTAGGGCAATGATGCCTTAAGCCTATTCAAAATACTCCCCATATGGTCTCCAAAAACTTATGCTGGTATTACTTTTTCAGAATAGTCTGCACTATTCTCTTCCAAGATTGCCAGCAATTGCTTTGTCAGATTTTCATTAATCCTTAAGCTCATCCCTTTCAATGTCAATTTTGGTTATAGAAAATGCCAGTTCCCAGGGAACCAAATATGAATTGTAGGTATATTGATATAATATTTTTGCTACATTACCCTGTACAAGATGTAAAGAATACATATTGTAATTATGAATGGCTGGAAAGTTTCTGATTAGACCATGTATAT